TTATATGCATACATAAACACATAGATAAACACATTTTTACACAGCACTCTCAATTTGGGTAGGAAAAATAAATCTACACATGAGCATAAATCAAAGTATTATAGAAATTATCTTCACAGGAAAAATTTTTGTCAGCATATAAAAGTTGTAGCAATTCTCAAATTAAAAAGAAAAGATGTGGAACAGAGATCAGAAATCCAATTAATATTCTCATTTTCGATTTCTCTTTTGTGCAATCAATACTACTTTGATGGCATTTTAATTCATGAGAAAGGCAATCCATGTAAATGAACAGGTACAATTATGAAATTGAGCAGAGAAAAATGTAACCTATGGTTTATTTCTATTTTATGTGGTAAATAAACTTTTTGCTATTGAGGGAAACTTAATCAGAATTTGTATGCTACTGCTCCTCTCCCACAGAAATGCAAGACAGCTAGTGTTTTTTTTCTCCTTATCAGCTTGCAAGTGTGCATACACAAGAAGCTGTTCTTTAGTCTACAAAATAAATAGCTAAAATAAATTTCCTATTTTCTCATTTTTCCCTGATGAAATAGATTTAAATGTCAACTGAATTATAACCTTCAAATAATTCAATACAAGAACTTGAGGTGCTATTAAATGAATACAAATAAATGTTAAGAAACCTTAACATTTTACTTTAATTTTTAATTCCCCATAACTTTTTCAAATAAATATTTGCCCTATAAATATTTGCAATTTCTTAATTTAAAAAATTGCAGACTAAAGGGAGAAGCTGCTTGCTTAAAAAGTTACTGTGGTTAGTCCAAAACCAGAGCCCAAGGCATAAGAAAATTCCACATTATAATAATAAATATAAAAATTTCTCCAGAAACTCAGCCCAATCTTATTCTTTGTCATTTTTGCAATTATTGCTTTGTTCATATAATACTATAGTTATTGTTTTCAGTAAATACACTCTTTATATTTTCACAGTCAGAGCCTGATATATCTATTTATTTTTATTCTCAAAGCTAAGCCTGTATTAGATAAATAACAAATATTGGTTGATTGGTTGATTGTTTGATTAGTTGGTTTAATCAATGAAAGAAAACTAAGGCTTAGAAAATTAATGACTTATCCAAGATCCAATAGTAAACCATAGATATTAAACGTCTATGTTTTGGTTCCATATCTAAAGATTTTCTGCTTAATTGCTTGAAAAATGTCTCCAGGGTTGGCTTTTTATTCCTTTTATTTATTTTGCATTTAATGGACTAGAGTCATGTACCCATCTCATTGATTATGATCACAATCATACTCTTTTCTCTACTTCCAGAAAAGCATAGAGCATAGGAAAACACTGGCTACAGAAACCTTAGTAAAGCAAAATGTGATTTTGCTGACTTTCATGGAAATAAAAGTTAAATACTTTTTTCAAAAAGTAATACACACATGAATGAACACACACACACACACACACACACATACATACATACATCTATGCATTACTTAATGTTTATTTTGTTGTTTTTCTGTAGTTTTATATATCCATAGGTCTGTTATATTTCAAGCATTATAAGTTCCAAGAACCTAGTAATTACTTAACAGCTCTGTATATTAACAAAATGAAATAATAATTTTCAAGTGCAGAAGATCCACTCAACTTAAATGCGAGCTTCTCAAAGTGGCTTTGCTCATTACTCTAATCTCTATGTCTTACCTTCCTTTATTCTTGAATTTGTTCTAAGTTCCATGAAGCAGGGACTTCATTTTGTTCACTGCTATCTCCCCATCACATAGAACAGTACTTGGCAAATATTAGTATATTAGGTACTCAAAAATAATATATTTAATATTTAATAGGTTTCTTTAGTTTGGTCATTTCATTTCTCTCTTTTTTCCTCTCTTTTCCTCTCTCACTAAAAAGTAATACAAAAATCTTACATTAAAAACTAAAATGTATATTTATATGCTTTCTGAAAACTGAAATATTTAGACCCTATTTTTAAATCCAAACTACATGAGTGTAAAAAGCATAGACACATAATTGATGAGAAATATGCTAATAATCCCTAAAGGTGATGCATTAACACATTAAGTTAATCATGCCTTTTGAATTTAAAAATTTATATTTTTATTAAATTTATTAGGGTGATATCATTAATAAAATTATATGTTTCAAATATACAATTCTATAATACATTATCTGTATATTGTAGTGGCATCACCAATCAAAGACAAGTCTCCTATCCATGTTTAATCATGTTTTGTTTTGTTTTATTTTCTCAAAGTTCTGAATCAAAATTTCATGACATTGCAATGTTTTAGTTTATAGAGGATGGGCAAAGGAGAAAAAGGATTGATTACATCTGTCTGGAATTTTATTTATACGTATATACAAACTTTAACAGGAATCTCAGAAACTGAAGGTATTCAATTAAAGTAAGATATTTAGTTAAGACCTTTAACACTGACTGAACTTAACTTATCCAAGTACCATGATTACTTGTGACATAATTATTTCATGTCCCTCAAATAACTAAATATTATATACTAGAGACCCAGTGCACAAATGTGTGCATGGGTGGGGTCCCTCAGATTGGCCAGCCACCACAGCCGGCCAGAGGGAGGGACTGCAGAAGGTTAGCTATGGGAGCACACTGAGCATTGGGGGCAGCTCTTGCATTGAGTGTCTGCCCCCTGGTGGTCAGTGTGTGCCACAGTGACTGGCCGCCTGGTCATTCAGTCACTTAGGCATGCATATATATATATATATATATATATATATATATATATGAATTTATTTATTAATAAATTAAATATATTAAGTGAATAAGTAAATTAATATTAAGTACTTCAGCATCTCAAAAGATGGTTATTCCAAAAACTAACTTCAACTTGTCCTGATGTCTAATTACAATTGTCTCCAAGAAGAAATATTTTTAGCTCAACTCTTCCTTGTAAAAACATGAAGTATTTGCTTACAATTCCTCACTCTAAAAACTTCTTCAAATATTTGTAGATTTATGTTAAAGACAAATACAATATTAAACTACTTGGACAATTTTCTGCATTTGATTGAACCAGTTTAAGTATATCTTATATAATAAAAGCCTAATATGTTAAGTGTCTGGTGGTCGGGTTAGCCATTCAACCAATTAAAGCATAATATGATAATGATATGTTAAGGCCACACAACTGCTTGCTATGATGTGCACTGACCACCAGGGGGCAGACACTCAATGCAGGAGCTGCCCCCTAGTGGTCAGCGTTGCTCAGCCAGAAGCTGGGCTCATGGCTGGTGAGTGCAGTTGCCTGTGAACTGAGTCAAATCACCAAGAGTGATTTTACTTTTTTTTTTTTTTTAAATGAATGGCTCTATACTAAAATGATTCTTATCTGAATCACCCCAGATCTTATATAAAATTTAATTTATTTGTGTTCTGATAGTTGAAAATAAAGATTTTTAAAATTTGAACTAGTGCTTACATGGTATTCAGAATGCCTAAGTATTACATTTAGTCATGGAGCATGGTATATAAAACAAAATAATAAATGCAACATTATAAACTTAGCATATAAAATGCTCAAATTAAATTAATCAGAAGAATATGATTTTTGTGCTTTTTCAAATACAACAAACATATACAAATATGGACAAAACTACCTATAAAATTATTTAACCCTTAATAAGGCACAAATGTGGTATTTGATGTTTTAACCATTTGCTGGGGACCAAAAGTACTCATAATTGCCAAAACCCGTTTGGCTCAGTGGATAGAGCATTGGCCTGCAGACTGAAAGGTCCCGGGTTCGATCCAGTCAGGGGCATGTACCTTGGTTGTGGGCACATCCCCAGTAGGGGTGTGCAAGAGGCAGCTGATCGATGATTCTCTTTCATTGATGTTTCTAACTTTCTATCCCTCTCTCTTCCTCTCTGTAAAAAAATCAATAAAATATATATTTTTTTAAAAAGCACCCATAATTGATAGTTATTTGTGGGGTTTTTTTGAGAAAGATATTTGAAAAGCGTATACAAAATCACTCTTAGCTACTTATTTTAGCTACCAAATGAACCTCTGGCAACTCAGCCCCAGCATCTCAGTAAGGTGTCAGTTACTCTACTTTGGACTCAACTGATGTAATTCAAAAAGGAGAAAATATCAAGATTTAGCATTATGATGTTAACATCATTACATTACTAATATAATATAACCAATTATATGTGGCACATTTTGTTTGCACTAACTATGATTTTGTTGTATATAGAAAAAGTAATTACATACCTAAAAGAAAAATTTCTATTTACATACTACATACCTGTAAACTTAGAAATTTTCTGAAATCTCAGAGTATAACTTTCTGAGTTCCAAGACTTTGCTTTATAAGGACTATATACTAGAATGACAACACTGTAAATATCTAATTTCATTAATCCATTTAAAGTTTCTTCAACTAGCTAAAGCATGGCTTACAGTTAATCACATTCAAGTTTAATTTTTCAACTTAATTTTTCATGCAGCATTATTATTTCCAAGTAATTATTTCCTCCATGGCCAATAACTGAGTATTCTAATTATAAACAGCAGCATAAATTGCTGGAGCCCATAATAAATAATTTTTTAAAGGGTCAAAGAATCATACAAGCAATTTGTTACCTTTATGCTAGAATAGCAAAGCACATAGTTTTTCAAATCAAAGTGTAAGCGTCATATATGCTGGCAAGAAAATAATCTATTAAAGAGCATGTTTACTCTATCTTTAGCAAGATAAAGCAAAGAAAAAGCAAACGAAAATCATCTCATGAAGAAAAAAACCTGTTAGGCTGTGTGTTCTGCAATTACTTTTCAAATAACATATTTTGTTCTGTCAAGGAAGAAAATAGTTCCGATTTCTCCTCATACGCATGCAGATTAAAACCTGGCTAAGGCATAGTTATTCTGAACCACATACTTCTGGAACGGAAATAATCTGAATTAGATGAAGTTCTGAGGTATTCTGAGATATGTAAGATTATATAGCACACATAAACTCACCCCTCTAATCTCACATCCGGTAGACTTCTGTTAAGGGCAATCAAATCACTGGCCATAAGGTTAAACTGATTGATTTTAAACAGTTCTTTCATTTTCTCCTGGTCATCTTTAGGAATCAGCACGGCCTTTCCCATTTCTCCTGGCCCTTCTTGGTTTCTTGAAATAACAGCTGTAAGATACACACAGGTACACGCATACATAAAAACATAGATAATGAACTGAATACTAGAAAATAAACTCTTGTGTTGGATTTGATTCTCAATCGTATTATTTATATACTGACCATAATATAATCCTCAAATCTTTCACTGCTTACTTACAAACCGTACATTACACTAAAGAAACAACCTATTTTTAATTCGTTAACTCAATGCTTCATGTTGTCTTTCAGGTCTAGATATATAACATGACCTGGCTAATCGACATTTAATAATTATGTAATACAAAATAACAAAAGTAAAACCTTCTCTGACTTCTTTTTTAACATGCTTGCTAGATAGGGAGGAAACTGAGAACTGAGCAGATCAGGCTGCACAAAATAAGAAAATTTGTGAAAATATACCAACATTAATCTATTTGCAGACCCATTAAATGTTTGGTATTTCACATACCTACTACCATTATATCTTTGTAAAAGCAGGAAAGATGGACAATACTTCATCCCCATAGTAATTTGAATCCATCCTGAAAGCATTTTCAAATAAGTAAAAATAATTTTCACGGTGGTGACATATAATTGCAAAGATCAAGGGACATTTGGAGACTCTGTGCTCTGCAACTGGGACCTCAAAGCAATATCCTGGACTTGGCTGTTTTACTAAAAGGGCTCAGTATTCAATACACAGGCCAATGTTCTTCCAATGTCCTCCAAGTAATCACTACTATAACGCCCCTTCTAGCTATGCAATACCTGTTTCAATATGTGTCTGTGTATGGTGGTGGTGGTGGGGGGTGTACACATATGTCTATATGTACCTTAACATCATATATAATTCTATATAATCAAAGGGTAATATGCAAATTGACCTAAGGGTGGAATACCGGAACTACAAGTCACTATTATGCACAAGGACCACCAGAGGGAAGACATGCAACTCAGGAGCTGCCCCTTGGTGGTCAATGTGCTTCCACAGGGGGAGTACTGCTCTGCCAGAAACAGGCAGATTACATGTATAATAATTAGATATTTGAATTACATCAAATATATAAAATATTTTAAGTCATCAAATTAAACCTACTGCTGCAATGTGGTAGCACTAAGGATGTCCGATTAATGGTTTAGGCCCACTCCCTCAGGAGTTTGTCAGACATCCCCTGAGGGCTTCCAGGCTGCCAGGGGGATGTTTGACTGCCTGCATAGGCCCAATCCTGGGAAGCAGGCCTAAGCTGTCAGTCAGACATCCCACAAGTGGTCCCGGACTATGAGAGGGTGCATGCCTGGCTGAGGGGAGCCCCCCAAGGGCTCAAATTTTCGTCCACCAGGCCTCTAGTATTAGTATAAAAAGTTTTCACTTTCACAGCCATCCTTATAAAACATTATACACATCTATTAAAGCCAATGCCATCCTTATATATATTAGGAGGTTGTTTGGCACATGTTATAGTCATAAATGTTTCCTGGAAACAATTGGCTCAATTTATAAACTGTTTACTAAGGTAATAAAATCATGCTGAAATATGACATTATTTCCTTCTGCATTAAAAATGAACTCATGCCCTGGCCAGTATGGCTCAGCCGGTTGAATGTGTTTTCATGCACAGAAAGGATGCTGGTTCGACTTCTAATCTGGGCACATGCCCAGGTTGCAGGTTCAATCTCTGGTCACGGGGTTGCAGGAGGCAACTGATCCAAAAATGTTTTTCTCGCTCTCTCCCCCTTCCTCTCTCTCTTTAAATCAATTTAAAAGTGAGACTCCTCATTAAAAGCATAAGAAATAGTTCCCAAATTGCAATGACTCTAGTAATCACCTTAGTTTCTGCTTTGATTAGGAAATTTCACCATACCCCTATCACTGCTTGCACTATCAAAATAAAAACAAAACAAAAACCCATTACTTCTTTGGGGGGGGGGAGGAAATCACAAAATAAAAACCCCACCAATGTTCACTTCAAAATGCTTTGGGAAGCGCTATGGAAGGGGACATCAAAACTGAAACAATGATCCTGGCCAGTGTGGCTCAGTTGGTTGAGCCCTGCCCCAGGCACTGAAAGGTCCCCAGTTAATTCCCAGTCAGGGCACATACCTATGGTGCAAGTTCCATCCCAGGTCTATTGCCTGCAGGAGGCAACCGATTGAATATTTCTCTTTTCTCTCCCTCTCCTTTCTTCTCTCTCTATAAAAATCAATATATTTTTATTAAAGTGAAATAATGGGCATTTTACAAAGGTCCCTTACATAACCCAACATTCATTATAAATTGTTCCTAAATACACAATAATAAACTCAGCATTTGACATATCATCTCAGAAAAGATTAATCAACTTTGCAAACATACAAACACTTGGACCACACACACACACACACACACACACACACACACAAAAAAAAAAAAAAAAAGAGAGAGAGAGAGAGAGAGAGAGAGAGAGAGAGAGAATATTGCATTCAATGAATATACATGTCACTGTGGAAAGAGAAACATACTATTAAAACAATTCCTGAATATAACATCTTATTTATTATAAAGCTGCAAAAATTATCTAAAATTCTCAAAATTTATTAACTAATATTAGTCACAGAAAATGTGAAGCGACTGTTGGTCAGTTGGTTGCTATGAATAAAGAAACTCATTCATAAAAGTCTACAATTAAAATTATTATAAAATAATACTAAATTAAATATGAGCAGAAAAATGAATCATATCAAATACCTAAAGTATTTTAAGTCATCAAATTAAATCTGCTGCTGGAATGTGATGTTTTGTTACGGTAGCTGTGTTGAATATCTCTTCTTTTTTTTAGCCTTTATTCTGCATCATATCCAGCCTGCTAACTTCTATGTTATCCTAGGTTGCTAACTTCTATATTCACATCAAGCAAGCTCCCTTGTCCTTTAACTTAGGTTGGGAAGGTACTGACAGTATTAAGAGACAGAAGATTAATGAGGTTGAGCTATTTATTTATTGGTTCCTCTCTGTGGGGCCACTGAGGGTTGGCTCTCTCACTCACAACGATAATGCCATGGGGAATGTTCTATGACCAGTTAATAAAGTAAGAAACAATGCAAGACTACATTAAATAAGAATCTACCCTCTATGCTAGCAGCTGCTTAAAGTCTAACTCAGGGGTGGCCCTGAAAGTCAGTGGGTGAAGGGAATCTGCTTACAAGGCAAAAACTTCAGAGAGGAAATTTGACTGAACACTGTGTGAATGAGAAATGGCTTAGCGTAGCAATGGTTACACTAATCCATGAGCAGTAGATAACAGGCTGGACAGCTGGTAAGAGATTTAAAAAAATAAGAATGAAAAATTAATGACCAAGAAGTCTAATGGGAGAGGTATGTGAATGCTCCCCTTGAAGAGGATGCAAAAATAGGTATTAATGTCCCATGTTATCTTATAGAAAGGTTTCCACTGCAGAGGAGCCTGCAATAATCAGATTGACAAAATTATCCCTCCTATAGTTGTCACCCAGTCTTTTTTATAGTCTCTTTTTTTTCAGTTGTTCAATGGGCAGGAGAGATACTAATAGACCAGGATAACTCAGAGGAAGAGTATGCATGGATTTGATGACATGAACTTCTCACCACAGTTGATATGGTTATGGCCACCCAACCTGCCAATAGCACGAGAAAACACAAAGGGCACCATTCTTGATCAGCTGGTGAGAGGCTGATTCTATTGGACCCCTTTCATCACTGTGAGAAAAATGTCTTCTTACAGCAGGGAAGAGATCTGGGATCTGTCTTTTCTGGCCACAATTCTGTCGGTACCACCATTTGTAGATATACAAAATCCTACTTTTCTTGGATTTTGGCATAATCTCACTTCAGACCAGGGAAAATAATTTATGGCCAAAAAAAATGTGACCATGGGTTTACCCAAATTATCCCCTGGTCTTATGTCCTCAATGTCTATAAGCAGCTGACCTGTTGAAATAGAATATGCTAAAGACTGTGGAGCACCATTTGGCAGATACAAACCTCGTGGATTACCAATATCCAAAGTGTGATATCAAATCTCCTATAGATTAAATGAACAGGCCCAGTAATCGAAGAAGGAAGTAAGAGTGAAATCTCTTCAGCAAATAACTCATTGAAGCAATATTGGTTTTCTTTCTATATAACCTCAGGCTTTATACATAGAAGGGTTCTAGTTTCCATATGAGAAATACTTCCACTAGAGAACACAATCAGGCTCAGTATAATTGGAAAATGAGTCTACCCTCCAGCCATTATGAGCTCCTTAAGCTGTTGAAAGTACTGGAGGAGAAAGAGACCACAATAATGGTTGAGGTGATGGATATTATTTACCAACAGGAAATTACATTGCTGCCACAGAGGGGGGCAAGCAGAACTATTTTTGGAACCTGGAGGGTATTTTTAAAATATATATATTTTATTGATTTTGTACAGAGAGGAAGGGAGAGAGATAGAGAGTTAGAAACATCGATGAGAGAGAGTCATCGATCAGCTGCCTCTTGCACACCCCCCACTGGGAATGTGCCCGCAACAAGGTACATGCCCTTGACTGGAATCGAACCCGGGACCCTTCAGTCCCCAAGCCGATGCTCTATCTATTGAGCCAAACTGGTCTTGGCTGGAGGGTATTTTTGTTTGTTTGTTTGTTTGTTTGTTTGTTTGTTTGTTTGTTTGTTTTCCCCTCTGTACTAGACTGAGTAATAGAAAAATGAGGCAACCCAATAAGGGAAATTTAATCAAAGGCTTATATCACAAGATCATACACCACCAGGTAAAGAATACTATACAAACTAGTTACTGATTGATGGAGCATAGGATATACATTGTACAGATGTAGCTAAAAGAATGTATAATATTGTCCTGCCAGGGTGCTCAGTTGTTGAGTGAAAATCTATGAACAAGAAGGTCATGGTTCAATTACTGGTCAGGGCACATGGTTTGATCCCCTGTCAGGGGTGTGCAGGAGGCAGCCAATCAATCTCTCTCATCATTGATATTCCTATTGCTCTCCCTCTCCCTTCATTTCTGAAAT